AGACTAATACTAAACAGCTGTGCTTATTTGGGGACAAAATGTGCATTGTTGGGAATGTTTTCTTGAGATTTATTCCTAGGAATTATGTACATATGGAAGTCAGGTTGACTCTCCTTTGGAAGAAAATATTTCCCCCCATGAGAGAAACAAGCTTTTTTAATCACAGTGGTGTTGAAGGTAGAATTGTAGGAAATCCTAAACAAAGGAACAGTCCATCTGAAATTTGCAGTATCATTTAGACTTTTCTTTCTTCTCGTAGAGCATATCCCTCTGTTCACATGATTCTGTTGTACTTACCACACTATATATTTGTCATCTCTTTGTTGATCTTCTCCCCTTCTTACTCATTATTGCTTATATCTTATAGAACAAATATATATTATTATAAAGCCTGATTTAGAAAAAGTCTCATATACACACATATAATTTGTTTCTTTACCTTTTTAAAATTCATTTAAAGATATCAAAATATTATACAGAGTTTAGAATTTAAAGGGACTAAATCACTCATAACCTCAGTGCCCTAGCCAGCAAATGTTAATTTAGGAAATGAATATTTTTTTGGAAAAAACACAAATCTAAAATTAAAAATCATTTTACATCTCTAGGTAGAAAACATAAAATCATACTCAGAGTGTTCTTAAAAATATATTTCCTATATTTAAATTTCCTTAAAAGCCATAACACTTCATCAAGATGTCTTAAGTGGGTGAAGATGATCTCATTTAGCAGATGAGGAGAAAGAAAAAGAGCTTTACACAACTATTTCAATGACAAAGAATGGATTAGATTTAAAGCGATACTTCCAGTTCAGGCTCAAATGGTGGTGACATACTTTCAGGGCATGGGCAGGAAATGGGTTTGAAATTGTTTTTTGTATCAAAAGGTTGGACTGAAAATTGCCTTGAAAATATCTTCTAAATTGTAGGCCTGACAAAAAAATTATTTGAGGAATGTGTCTGTTTTTATGTTAGACTCAAATTTTCCAAGAACAAGATCTAAGCAACCCCTTGACTGTTAGGAGTTGTGATTTATACCTGTATTATTTTCCTATGTTGACAGATAAGATCACAAGGCTCTGCTTTCTGGAGGCAATAGAGAACATTTCATGGGAAATATAAGTAAATATAATTTGATTTTTAATTTTTCATATTTAGTACTGATATAAAAATTGATTATTATAAAGCCAGTAGTAACTTAGGTATCTTAAAACAATGGTTTGTTTTTGTTCTTATATTCTTAAATGAAAACAAGATATGTCCTTTGTAGGGACATGGATGCAGCTGGAAACCATCATTCTTAGCAAACTATCACAAGAACAGAAAACCAAACACCGCATGTTCTCACTCATAGGTGGGAACTGAACAATGAGATCACTTGGACTCGGGAAGGGGGACATCACACACCGGGGCCTATCATGGGGAGGGGGGAGGGGGGAGGGATTGCATTGGGAGTTATACCTGATGTAAATGACGAGTTGATAGGTGCTGACGAGTTGATGGGTGCAGCACACCAACATGGCACAAGTATACATATGTAACAAACCTGCACGTTATGCACATGTACCCTAGAACTTAAAGTATAATAATAATAAAAAAATAAAAATAAAAAATAAAAAAATAATAATAAAAAGATATGATCTCTGAAATAAATTTTTAATGTTCCATTTCCCCATAGCATTGTGGTTACTGTAAACAAAACAGTTTAACAGATATGATTTCTCTCCTCCTGGAGTTTGGTAAAGACAGTTGGTTTAAGATTAAAAGGACCCTTCTACTTCACATATCATATGGTTAAGCCTCATGTTGCCTGTCAGTGTTAGGAATAGATTTGGTGATCTCAAACCAACACAGCATAGTTAACGCAGAAGGGGGTCAGAAGAGAAAAACTTTTTTTTCCTTCACTAAAGTATTTGATAAAAATTGTTTCCTCACATTTTCTGTGACAAATGTATGCAAGTGGGGAAAAAAAAAAAAAAAAAAAAAAAAAAAAAAAAAAAAAAAAACTAGCTCTTTTTGGGTAGGTTTGAAGGAATGGGAAAGTAGGTCAACAACTAATCAGAGTAATTTTTTTAGCCAAATGTTTATTATATCAATACCCATACCATGAGGAAAGTACTCCATAGTCAAATGAGAAATGCTGCCTATTGAAACCAATTATTCAAACCAAATATTTTCAAACTGTTTTTGAGGATTAAACTGATTAACTCCTCTTTAGGCTTCCTAGCCCCTAGGTGCCACTTCATGTGTCTTTACAGGATTCTAGTTAATCCCAGGCAATGTGCCTTGCATTAAATAGTGCACAGAATACAGCTGGTGAGTGGATCTGCTGCCCCAGCACAATGCTTGGCCTTTCAGAAGGACCTAGAACCATCAGTTTCAAGGTAGAGCATTAGAAGTTCTATAGGTATTAGCCATGTTTGACAAAATGCATGTGTTAAATATTTAGTTAATGCTGGCTTCTGGTATTGGATTTCTAGGAAATCCAAAGAAAGAGGTAGGATGGTAAGAGAAATGGATCTCTTTGACAGTCTTTAGCCTTTAAGAAATTTCATAAGCATCCAAACTATTGCCAGAGGTAACACATTTTCCATTCTTACCGTAGTGACAGCAAATCCAGGCCTTTGGATTGGAGCACTATTTTAGGAATTTCTTGTAGCTCAATGCATATTTCTTGTAACAAGTTAATTCCAAACCACCCATTATGATATAAGTGATTACTCAACCATAGCATGTGCCAGGCATTCTGCTAGTCATTGAGAAAAAACAAGATGAATAATGACAGTGGTTAGAATTGCAATGGAGGGTAATAGGTGCTATAAACAAGGAATACCCAAGGAAGAGTAGGGTGGGAAAGTTGCTGAAGGAATTTTAAACAGAAAATGTGATACTTAAGTGGAGACAAAGCTAGACAAAGTTTAGGAGGGCATTCCAAGCAATGGGAAGACTGCATAAAAAGAAGTGTGGGTATGGTGGCTCACACCTGCAATTAGAGCACTTTGGGAAGGGGAGGTAAGTAAGATTGCTTGAGCTCAGGAATTTGAGACCAGCCTGAGCAACATATTGAGACCTTGTCTCTACTTAAAGTTAAAAAAACAAATCAGTCAGGTATGACGGTGTGCACCGGTAGTCTCAGCTACTTGGGAGGCTGAGGTGGGAGGATTGCTTGAGCCTAGGAGATAGAGGCTGCAGTGTGCCATGATCATGCCACTGCACTATAGCCTGACAGAGTGATACCCTGTGTTACAAATAAATAATAATAATAATTTTAAAAAGACAGAAGCAAAACATCATAGTGGGTCCTCAGAAATGAAACACGATGCAGTTTGTTCCAGGGAGGATGGTTTCAGTGGTGTCTGAGGGTTAGTCCTGTGAGGCCCTGAGTAGACTGGTGAGATGAAAGATCTTGCCTGGGTGATAAAGCATGGAAGGGCCTAACTGGCCTGCCAAGGGGCTTGATTCCAACCCATCTGTGATGGAATACTATGGAGGCCATGGAGTATCTGGATCAGACTCACACTTCAAAACAGTAACATTCATTGCAGTATGAATGGTAGATTGAAGGGAGAAAAGGGTAGACATACGGATATCAGCTAGAAGAACATTGTACTGAAACAAGTTGCAGGTGATCAAGGAAAGGTAGGACGATGATGGAAATGTCAAAGAAATATTTTAGAGGTGGAATTGATAAGACTTAGTTACAAACTGAAAGTAGTTGATGAGGTAAAGGAGGAAACTAGGACAAAGTCCATGTTCCTGGCTTGAGAACAGGTGACAGAAAGTAGGTTTGATTATGAATTCCATTTAAATTGATTGAACTTGAGGTATCTGTGAAACATCCAGTTAGAGATGACTATTAGGGTGTGTTATGTTATATATGGGTCCGGAGCTCAAGAAGGAGGTCCATTTGTGAAATGCATAATTGTGAGTCATCAGCATATAATCTAAATTAAAGAGTCTTTAGGAGATTAAATATGATGGGGACAGAGGAGACATTTTAATTGAGAGAAGAGGAAGAAGGTGCAGAAGATGAGACACTGCCCCATTAGGAGGATGATGCAGGACATTTCAGAGGTTGTTGCAGGGGTGGTTCTTATTCATTCTTACAACTGAAGCACAGACACATAGCACTGTTCTGAGTTTGGGTAAAAGCCTGAGGCAAAAGGAAAGAATAAAAGCTGATAAAAGGTTATTCTCCTCTCCTAACAGTTGCTCTGGAGTTTTTTAACTTGGTCACAATTATCAATAAAGAGAGGTACTTGTTATCATGACATGTCCTGGAAATGTTCCCCTGAGATGGATGTTTCTAGTCTGCAAAGTGAACAATGAAGATTCTGGGTGAGATGAGAGGGGAGTGAAGGACTCTGTCCTTCTACATGATGGTCATCTTGTTCTGACTGTTTACAAGACTAATGTTGTAATTAGGCACTCTCTGGGCTAAACCTCAACCTCAAGGCGTGCCTTTATTATTCTAACACTATATCTTTAAATCCAACTGGGTTTTCAGTCTATTCAAGGGTATCTATTTATATGTACATGAGATATCATGCTTTAAGAACTTTAATTACTTGGGTGTTATAGTGTCATAAGTACTGGATTTAAACTCAGAACATCTGACTTTGATTTTCTGCTCTGTCACAGATTAGATCTGAGATTAAGTCATTCTCCTTCTCTCAGCCTCTATGCCCAAGTTTATAACATATGACAGGGTTAGACAAGATAACCTCTAAGATTTCTTCTCTAAACTTTCTAGAAGGGGTTGATAGTCAGATACAAATAAATATGTATTCATTTTCTATCTCAGTTATTTACTTGATGAACATGTATTAAACACAATTTAGGTGCCCCGGGCACAGATTAATAAGGAGCTCAGAAACTAGTGAAAATCAGATATATATTTTTCCTTAGGTGAAAACGTATTTTCTCAAAAACTAATTCTTCAAGCTGTGGGTCCTTTTTTTTTTTTTTTTTTTAATGAGTCAGGCTTGGCATATGGGTTTGGAGGTCACTGTAAAGGAAAAAAAGCATTTATTGTCCAAAGTGATATCCTGAGAAAGTAATCTTGAAACTACAGATGCTGAGGGACACAAATAACCACACTTTGGGAAACTTTTAGCAAAGAGTAGTGCCAATAGTTAATGGTTAGAGACATTCTTGTAAGACAGTGATCTAAAACAGCAGAACTAAAACTTTTGAAGGCAGATGTAGGAGACAGGTAATCAAAGGTATGAGAGAAGGATAAGCATGTGGTTCTGGGGTCTTCCTGTGGATATGGAACTCTGCCTAGGTATCTATGTCTCATGTGCATGAATCTGAGTAGAGACTAACTCAGATGTTCGTATTTCTGGAGCATCCCTCCTCTTTCTTTTCCACCTGCTCCATCCAATAGAATATAAGTTACCCTTCTGTGAGTTATGAAAGCAACTTTCCTACTTATTTAGGAAAGGTAAGATACTTGGGAGATGAGCAAGTGCTGATAAGAGAGATAAAGATCAGCTTTGCAACCCAGAATGATCTGACTAGGAAGTTAAGCTTGCTGTCTAATGGCATTATCTCTCTTTTCTCATGTTTGTTTCTTCCTGTTCAAGATCTATTTTTTCTTCTGTTGGTAATAGTAGTCTATTTTTCTTTTAGAAAACTACTCCACCATCATCTGATGTGGTTCTGATGGCTGTGCATTTCTCAGCTTTATCCTCAGCCTGTGGGTAAGTCGAAGACTCATGGAAAACCAATTAGACTATCTTTTCTTGGCATTTAGAAATATTGAAGAAGAATGATATATGCCTGGGAAATGGTTGGTGCAAAGTCACTCGCTGGTGTAATGCCCCTTCATTTGGGTATTTGGGGCAACCTTGGCTCTCACTTTCCCAGAGCCTACTTAGCCCTTTCTTCAATTTGCTCTTCTTCTCAATATTCCTTCAATAAATTCCTTATCTCTCTATGCTGTACATTCTAAGTTCATTATGTTCATATGAAGTAGCTTAAACCTTTTCCAGATGTCACTCGATCCAAGGAGCTCTTCTTGTTCAGAGAAAGGTTAGGAAATGCATTTTGAAGTACACTTGGGAGACAAAGGGCAGGGCCCTGGGTCCCCTGTTTGGCTAGGTATAAGAAAAAAAAAAAAAAAAAAAAAGGAAATTCAGACTATTTGAAGATCTCTTTTAATTGAAAGTTTATCTGTGGCATTTCTGTTCTAAAGAGATGGGTTGTGAAAGTGGAAATCTTCCTTGACAACATAGGGGCTTCTTTAGAGGTTGTGACATGTCCCTGGTCATGAGGCCCACTGCTACTGCAGGAAGATGGATTTCATTTGCCCCAGCCTGTCTCTCTTTTCTGGTAGATAATGTAGAACTTTCAGGAGTTTCCTTCAGTTTCTGGGGCCTTGGTTCTTGAACAAAGAGATTCCATTATCTTCTACTCTTTCTTCAGTCTTGTCTACAAGTCATTTGTTACATTACAGCATTTCTTGAAATTTAGCAAATTCTTGAAAAGAAAGATTTAATCTTCTCAGGAGAAGCTGGGGAAGATTTATAGACGCCTATTCTTAACATGTCAAAATGTGGCTTGGCTGCTAAATTTACTGGGACCGCCTACACAGCTGAGGATTTCTGTGACTCTGCTGGAAATAATGGCTTTAGGAGGTAACCAAACAGCATTAGAGAAAAACATTTGAGAGAAAACAGATTTTTAGGATGCAGAAGTATTTCTTGTTTTATAAAAGAGCATTACATTTTTAAGAGCTCATTAAGTTGTTTTCCTTTATGTTTGACCCCAAATTAGAGTTTGGATTTCTTAATTTTCTCTTCTAAAATCATCTGCAAGGTGTTGGTAACTTGAGTTTCCAAGTCTTCAAATGCCATACAAAATGAAAGCATTAATTCTTAGGTGTTATTATGGAATGAATTGAATTCTGTTAGGTAGCCTTGTATAATACTTATTTTTTCTGTGCTTAATCATTACAGGTAATTTAAAATAAATACTTTTGCAAGTGAACCAATAGAAATATTTCGCTGTCATCGAACAGAAAGCTAAAAACCTAATTACAAATAATGTTCAATACATACCGTGTTAGTTTCTTCACTCTTTCCATATCTTTGTTCACTTTACTTAACATTCACCATTTCTCCCCTCATAGATTCATACACTGGCATTTTTTTCTTCATTTCATTGAAGAAAATGGTACTCTGTTACACAAATATGCTCCCTATTTCTTTGGAAACTGTATTCAGTCAGTCCCCACAGAAAGAATAGGTAATGAAATTCTCTCTCTCAAGTGTATGTAGACATATCAATCACTTTAAGTGGAAACAATCATTCCTCTGCCATTTGGAGCCAACATCTTTGAACACAGAAGCAGCACCATTGCTTTCTGTTGCTAAAAATAGTTTTTCCATAAAATGCTAAGGTTTACCTTCCAACCACATGCCACAGAGGTCAAGAAAAGCAGATTTGCTGATAACATTTGATTTGAGCAAAGGGAGTGATAAAAGGTACGTTTTGTAATCTGGGTTCAAAGCTGACTGAAGACGTGGAGTCCAGTGAAGATAATCGAGCAGACCTGTGCTGTCACCCTGCTACTGTTCAGTGATCTCTGCCCTGGATTGGTCAGGAAGTACAAAGACTTATAATTCTTCTCCATGTTGTTGATAGTCAATACTCCCAACTCTAACATCTCCTATACAATTCAGCATCTTTTCTCCCTCCTAAATAAGCAAACAACATTTTGGATTTCTGATGCCACCTTTTCCTCAAGAATCATTATACACGTTTAGCTTTTGTTTTGATTTCAGTGCATTAGGAAGTTGGCACCAGGAGATACAGAAAATAAGGCACTTGACCTCTTTCATTGCAACTGCCCCCATCCTACATGCCTCCCCTACCTGCCATAAACTTAAAAAGCCATGCATACTTAAAATACTGCTGGCTAAAGGCATGTTGCTGATGGATTAGAGAAATATCACGTTAGCACAAGGCATTCTAGTTACAATGAGGTGCTGCTGTCTCTACCCAGGGCATTACTGCTGTGAAGCAAAACAGCTCTCACTTCCAATCCCCAGATACAGAGCAGTATCAATGCAGAAATATTAAAGAGAAAATTAATAATTTATTTCAAAAATTCATTTGCAGCTGCACTGCAGTGAATTAATTACTTTTTGTATTTCTCCTCTTATTCATCCCTCTCTCTTGCTAATGATCAAGTTGGAACTAGGAAAAGGATGTAAGTATGGTTGGAAGAGGTGGGAGTCTGGTGCTGCCAGAGCAGAAAGCACAAAGAAGTATGTGCTTTTATGTGGGTGCCCTAAGAGACATGATAAGTGAAAAAGGATAAGTTAAACTTAATCCTATCTTCTTTACACCAAAACCAATAGAAAACCACATTACTATGTTTAGGTTCTACCTAGTATTTTAGAGGAGAGACTAATTAAAATCTAGCAAGCAAAATCTCAAGTTATTAAAAAGATTAATCTGTTGTTTATCACTATATCATCTATGCAATTCACTTCCCTGTATGCTCATTAAAATAGACTACACAGACAAAGCAATTGTATAGTTTTGCTTAAGTGTTACATGGCACTGTGTACTGACTTCCGGAAGGGTTGGGGTGGACACAGTAATTTTTGCATAACACTTGCTTATCACAACTTGCCAGATGACTCTATGGTGACATTATGGCAAGGTTCAAATCCATAGCCATTTAAATTATTTTCTGAGCTAGAATAGAAAAATCAGTCCGAGAAATTTCATCTACCAAACTTCAGACTGAGGCAAAGCAGATGCTTTCTTCCATACTTAAAATGCTCACAAAACAGGAAGATAGTTTCCATCATGCCAGTTCAAGCTACCATTTTAAAGCAAGCAAAAAGATGTGCTTTTTAATATACCTTATTCTAAGTAGCTAGTTTAATGGGAGAAATAACCTTTGTACTAATGAGATTTTGAAAAAACAAATGAATGCAAAAGCAAATACTGAATTTTCTCTAATACCCTCATTGCTCTGGCAGAGGATCCATAGCAATTTGGGTACCAAATGATCCCCTCAGGGATAAACAATTTCCATGGGTGCAATTGGATGTTCTGGCATGTGTATCAGCAGAAAGGGAGAATAAAGTTAAGGGAGAAGATAGAGAGAAATCAGTGTTTAATTTTATCCAAAAGATAAGAGACAGAGGAAGAAAAAGAAGTACAGCGAGGATGGTATCAAGAACCAACGTTGATGGTGTCAGGGGCAGATACTCCTCTGTTCTGTTTAGTGAAACTATCACCGTGAGAGCCCATTGACTCCTCTGTGAGAATCTGTATAGTTTGCATCATGACACTGTGCCCCAGACTGTCTTAACGACTCACTGTCCCTGTTTTGACACAACCTAATGTGATCAGGAGCTCATAAGCTAATTCAAAATTTGTTTTCTGAAGGTTGAAATGAGACACCATCTAAAGGTGTACTTGCTATAGTCTCACCTCTGAGTAAGGAAACAAATGCTTTGTGACCTTTTGTTTTTCAGTACTATATGATTTGGGATACTATAGCTCAATGTATCATTATAGCGCTTTCCTTGGATTTCTAAAATATGCCTAATGAGTAACCAAATTAATCAATCCCAAGTGTCTTGGTGGAAAAGATTTCCCCTCCCAATATCAAAAACCCTTCAGATAACATGAATACATAATAAGGCCAATGTTTATTTATGTAGCTGCTGTAACTTAAAAGAGATCTATCTGAAGGAAGCATTTATTCAATATCATCAAGCCACTGATAACTTCCATGCACTCAATATACTGGTCCATTGGCTATGAATGCATTCTTACTTTAACAGCTTCCCCAGAAATTCTTTATCTGAAAAGTTACCAAAAAGCAACTCATCATATCATACAGTAAGAAACTAAAAATCTATACCTAAGACATATTGTTGCTGTTCCAAACAAACCTGGAATATAATTTGATAATTCAATGAAAAATTGTTTGTTTCATATTGTGTATGTTAAAAGAAGTAGCATTAACTGGAATCATCAATCAAAAAATTTCCCCAACATCTCCCGGCAAGTGATTGCAACAGCAGCTGGAAATTTGGTAGACATCTTTCCTTCCTAATTCCTTCAGCAAGAACATTTAGAACGCTGTAATGATTGGCTCTAAGGAATCTTGTGTTTATGAAAAACTATCCTGCTTCTGCCTTATGCATTCAAATTTGTCTCCAAACAGACTCTTTGCATGCCCTGAAAGCTCCCAGAGGCTTTTGACTACGTAGTACTGCCCCCATGTGGGCCAAGGGTGTCAATCGTACAAGGAGCACCTGCATTGCATTTTTGACATTAGCAGAAAGAGGTAAAAACTATGATTTTTGGTAGTTTTTATCCTATACATTGATTTGAATTTTCAAGGGAAATAAACTTTTCCAGTCACAGAATTAGTCATAAAAAGTAGCTGGGTTAAGATGCCTGGAAATAAAGAACAGAGGAGAAGGGATCGGAAAATCTAGGCCAATGTTCTCTCTCACCTGGGATTCTTGTTTTTCTCTGCCCAGAAGGTCAAATCTCAGTTGAATTAGTATGCAGATCACATACCCAGCAACTACAGTTCCAGACTAGGGAATGTGCTAATTGGCTCAGCCACCTGAAGTACCGGGGTACCAGTCGTCTGACACATAGCCTCTGAGGGAAGCAGGACTTAATGCAGGACACAATGTTCTCATCACTCTGCACTGTC